GAACTTAACCATATGCATAATTGTGTATGGGCATTTACGATATCGGTTAGTAACTATGCGCATAATGCGCATATATGCGCACGCATATATGCACGCATAATGCGCATAGGCACATCTCTAAGCATTACTATGTTGATCATCAAAAATAGCATTAATTATTTCTGTTTTTTCTTTTTGTTATTCTTCTTTATAAAATCCACACATATACTTTAAATAATCATAAACATAAAAAGCCATATTGTACCAAGAATTCTATCTAGTTACATTTGATAAAGGAATAAACCGTAAGGTTAATATTATATTGGGTAGCTTGAGTCTAATTTTCTTGAATTCCATATTGAGTCAAATAATTCATATAACGATTATAATGACTTTTTGAGTGGATAAAAGTTTTCTTAATATTTATTAATAATTTTTTTTAAAATATCAAAATGTGTGATCAAAATTCATGCTTCAATAAAATAAAGAATAATAATTATTTACTTATATTAATAATTATTACATTGCATAAATATTAACCTGATCAAGTTCAATATAAGTATTATATTGAAGTTGTGGCATTAAGTCGTGGAATCAGAAAAGGAATTGACCACTCAGTTAAAATTCGAACCACTAATTATCCAATAGTAGTATTATTAACTACTTGCAAGTAATTAACTGATATAAGCTTCATTGAATTGTGATAAGAAAACAAGATATTTACAACACTGCGAGCTCGAGAATCTGTGGTTTCGTCAATAATAATGGTGACAGATTTCCCTTGAAACTCGGTATGCAAGGCTTGAACATGTTCTTCATATAAGTTGGGCAAATAATTGCAGCGCAAGGTACTCCACAACAATACTTTATCAAAAATGGTTGAAATTTATCCACTTTTTCTAAAGGAATGTTTGCAACCCATGCCTTAAGAAACTCATTTATCACTGATTTTTTGGCTTCAGCTACTCGCATAGTTGTTTCGATGCCTTGTTGGTGTTCATATCCATCTTCAGCTGACTTTTCTTTCCTTATTATGTGTTTTTCGGTGTTTAAATGAGCAGTAATAAAGGAAATATTATCATGGTTGATGACACAGCAGCAGAAATAATACATAGGTAGTCCATTTTCAACATAAAAATTGTTGGGATATTTTTTTTGCCCGAGAAGTTTCTGTAACTTGTTATTTGCGCACCATTTTAATGCTATTGCGATTGAGAAGTGGTGAAACGCGTAATCTGAATAAAAAAACCCTGTTATATGCATGCACGACGAAAAGAGTAATGCTTAAATTCTGGCCGGGTGAAAAAAAATTTGGAAAATTTGGCTAATCCGGAAAAATTTGAATTCAAATTTTTCCGGGTCCCTGCCGTGAATATTACCACGTGGGTCGTGATCTACATCGTGCGTAAATTACAAGAACATACGATTTTTTTTGTGGTATGATTTTTTATGTGTACCTCATGTAAATCATTCGATGTTTATTTTTTATATACGCCATATTTGTGAATGACCTGATTTTATATGGTTTCTTACATTTTAAATTTGTTCAAAGGGTGGCGGCAATAACATGACATGATCGGACTTTGCTGTAAGTGGAACCAGCTTTGACTGCATATATATATTGACCCGATTTTAGTTTGAGAGTTTGAAAAAAAAATAAAGATTGATTCAAACTTTTACTTAAAAATGTCTTTATTAGATAACAATAAAGTTGATTTATTTGACAATGGACTACAATCATACATATTCATATCTATTTTTCTTTTTATATCCATATTCTATCTTCGATATTTCCTCGACACAAATCGTCTACCTGGTCCAGTTCCCTTCCCGATCGTTGGAAACTTTCCACACTTAGTTTTCTTGTTACTTTACACCAAATTCAATCTATCTCAAGTGATACAAATCTTACACGTAAAATATGGCGACCTATTCCAACTATATGCTCCGTTCTCTTTCAGAAACCCGGTTGTTGTAATTAGCAATGCGCAAATTGCAGGCCCGCTTCTTAATAGCACATTGGTCGCGGAAAGCAAGTTTCATCATCGTACGGGTCCGAGACAGGGAATAAATGAGTTGGGTATATCGAGAAAAGGATTGTATTTGAATGAAGACACGGAGAGTTGGACTAGGAATAGAAAGTTTTTCGCGAATGGTATTTCGTCGGTCAATGCCGCTAAAGATTGTGTGACGTATGCGAGAAAAGCATTTAAAGAGATGGAAAAAAGTTGGATTGAAATTGAGTCGCACAGTGAAGGACCTGCCAACGTGGATTTAATTGAATGGATATTTCGATGGACAACCGACATAATATTTCAAGTGACAACGAGTGAAAACGTCAATTCAATCCAGACATATAAAAAGACAATACTTGGAAAAATCAATAACAATAATGAGAAATTAGGTATCAATTCATCATTTAAGAAATTAACGAGGTCATTATCACTCGCTAGTACCGATGACGGATCTAGAATGATAATCGATACCGAGATATTTATACGAAATATAAAAGATTTCTTCCCAGCTGTATGGACATTTCTTGCGACCCCTAAATGGACACGTGATTATGTGCCACCCGTTTCAGCAATGGCAAGACGTTTTAAAGACAGTTTAGGAATGGTGAATAAAGAGCTGACAAAGATCGTCAAGGAGAAACGTGAGGAGATTATAATAGATCGTAGTCGGGCTAAAGAAGTAAAGATGGACTTTTTGACAATGATGATTACTTCTGAAAAGGATAAAGTGACACTTGGTGATGATGAAGTTAGAGAGAATTTATTGCATGCTATTGCAGGCGGAATAAATACTGTAAGTTATTATGGTGCGAAAATAGACTCTTCCTTGTGATTTGCTATCATAAATTTTAATTTTACCATTTACAACACATGTAGCTGGGAAATACATTATGCTTTATTATCTATACGCTCACCAAACACCCGAAAGTCAAGAATCAATTAATGCATGAAATAAGTTCTGTATGCAAAGACAAGAACGATGGAAACGATTCAACAAATGCTTACGTTCTCAATTACGAAGATTTGGCAAAATTAGAATACACCGAAGCGGTTATCAAAGAAGCTTTGAGAATTTTACCGACAGTCCCATTAAATTTACGAATTGCTGGTGAAGATTGTCGTATTGGTGAACATCAATTTAAGGTAATAAATCGATTCTTTTATCGTTATAGTCTCCTTTAGTCACCCAATTTGAGAGTGACTAAAATAGCCGAATAGAAAAATATGAATTCTTTTTAACAATTCACAATTAATAATTATTAGGCTGGCACACAATTTATACTAAACCAGCAAGGAATACATCTTAATCCGAAACACTGGGAAAATCCAACTGAATTCGACCCATCACGATTTCTTCCACCAAATTCTGCCAAACACATACAGAAACACTCTTTATTACACTTCGGTGATGGAACAAGGAAATGCCCCGGTAAACTACTGGCAATGACAGAAATGAAATGTTTTTTGGCGTTGTTTTATCTTAAGTATGATTTCATAATTGACGGCAATAATAATAATAATAATAATAATAATAATGGCGAATGGGACTATGTTTTTATTAGAAGGTGGAAAGGAGGATTTTCAGGAAATGTTTTGCAGAAATAATTGATCTGAAAAGAAACAAATTAAATTTTAATATAGCGATAGCGATAGGCAATATTTTAAATACATGTACATTACCCACAGAAAGTATCGCCCTATGTAAATTAAAAATAAAAATTTAGATAATTTTTCAATTTATTTGATTTTTGTCCAAATAGAAAATAAAATTTATTTAATATTTAATTGACCCTCCAATACTGCATTAATTCTTCGTGGCATTGATGCAGTAACCCATTCTAAAATGGCCACATCAAGTTTTTCACACTCCATCTTCAGCACAATTTTAAGTTCATCCACAGTCGTCGGAAGGTTCTCATTTTTTTTGAATATTGTCCTTTAATATCTTTCAAATGTTCTCTATTGGATTCAGGTCTGGGGAATTCGCCGGCCAATTAATAATCACGATT